GAATGTTGCATACACTGATGAATCTGTATCTGACTAGAAGTGCTGAGGGGCTGAAAGGTGACAGAAAACAAAGGCAACCTCTGCACTGCCTTTTCTTCTGAAATGAAAACTGCACAACTATTAACCAACACTGAATAGGATAAACAGCTCATGCGTCAACAAGATAAAATTCTTTCTAGACAAGAGACAAAACTGAATCCAATAAAAAGTGCCATAGTTGGGAGGGAGGAAAAATAAACAAAACCACAGAATATTTATGATAGCATTACAAACAGGATTCTAAGCAACTATGCAAAAGAGGTTGCCACACTGTAGAAACAAATACTTCAAATTCTTGCCCTTCTGCTCTTCTGTAACTTCTGTGCTGGCAGCCCCACTGTCAGTGTTAATCACAAATGCTAAGCTATAGAACAAACCCTAGAGAAAGAAGGTAGAAAAGCAGGTGATGGAATACAATGTCATAAAAATGTGGTGGAAAGGCAGATACAGTACACACATACACATTTATGTTATTTGGTTCTGAAAAAAACAAAGGGTGAAGGGCAAGACACAGTAATCAGTCTTGCTTCCATCCACCCAAAATTGAATTAACTACACCATTGTGTTTACATTGTTATGAAAGAGGCAAACCTAGTTCACCTGAACTTGGCACACGGAAATATTCAACTCAGATGTTCTTCACTAGTCACCAAATATTCAATTCCAAAATACTATTTGGAAGTGGCTGTAAGGTTGTTTCCTTACTGCCTTCTCCAAATCTTTCTTTTCTAAACAAAAATGGCAATTTGGCATAGTTCAGTTCCTAGGTGTCATTTCTACAATTTTAGTCAGTTTACTAAGCAGGAGGACTATGCTTCAACACATAATCCCACTTGCCTATGGAAGTGTGTAACTTTCAGTAGTACATTGTCGTTACCTTTCCCCAACATGCTTATTCCTTAAAACGAAACAACCATTCCTACAGTTGACATTCATTGTTACATCCCAATGTGTTTGAAATATTAAAAAACACGGAGTCATCATCTCATAATGCCCTTATTAAGATTACAAAGATTACAAAAGAATCCACAAGTATTACGGCACTGTGTGAGACTTATTAGTCATGATCCAAGGGAAGAACAAGACTGCAGTTCTGTGCAAAGTTGTGGAAATGGCCTCAGTTCCATGGGAAGTGGTATTCCACGATAGACTTCACTAGAAGGATAATTGAAACCTTTTATTTTAACACTGAAAGCGTAATTCAATGCATTCTCAAAATTCAAGTTTCAAGATTTGGAGAGATGCTAACATTCTCTTACATAATTAACTAGAACATACTTGAACAGAATTTTAGGAAGACTATATAAAGAATGGGAACATAAGTTTTTATTAATTCCTGTTGAAGGCAACTTGAATTCATTTCTTTAAAAGTTAACTAAATCTTAGCAGCTAAAATAATTTTAAATGTATGGAATAAAGAAAAGCACATCCATTCTTGACATTTTGGTGAATAAACTAACAGCTTTATTAATGAAGGCAAACATGAGATAATTGTATGAATATTATATATAAAAAAGAAATCCAAACTAACAGCATTGTATTTCAAAAGTACTGTACTTCTGTTTCTTTTAAAGAGACTTGTCATCTGTTTTATAAAACAAACAAAATGGGTACTCCTCTCTCTAAAAGGTTCTGGGAAATGAAATAAGTCAATTTCAAGCAGATTAACTGAACACATCTTTCTCTAAATGCAGACTATTGCTAGAAAGCAAATAAAATCAAGCATCAGAAAGAAGATGTATGACAAATTCATGAAAATGAAAGGGATTTATGTAGTGAAATTTCCCCCTCATATCCAAAGACCACTCAAAACTGGTCTTTCGTACAAATATAAAATAACTATAAAGAGAAGGAATATGAAACCATACCCATCTGAAATCCTTCATGATGCTTTTGTAATAGCTTTGATTCTCTTACCAAAAAGATCAGTTAAACATTTAGGAAATGGAAGGAATGAAGACATTTAGTTTTAAATGTACAAGTAAGGCACAATATAAAGCCACATCATAATCTGTCATGAAGGATATAGGAAAGGACAAGAATCATACATGGTACAGTAGAACAAGCAACCATATTGACTGAAAAAAGTGTGGCACCCAATTCAAAACTCAGACAAGATCTTAACAAGAGCAATTAGACAGCATGCTTTCATAAAGAGACAAACTCTATAAAGAATCCAGTGTATCTCAAACTAGAAAGTTTTTTTTTTCCCTCTTAAAATCATAGTTGTAGTAGAGTCAAAGTTTGTCATTGCTTTTGGAACAATGGGTTTATTTTGAGGTGAATTCACAATGCCTTCACTTAAGATTCTGGACTTCCATGAGCTATCTGTATACCATGTATGAACACAGAAAACTTTAAGAGAGCTCTTCTCTAATAATCTTCACCCAAAAATACATGCCACAATTTTCAAAAACAACATGTACAACTGTTGGGGTTTGTAGATTACCTTATAAGATTGTTTGTGTGATACACTAAACGTATATATTTTAATGACAACAGAGGAAGCAGATTATTACTGGCATTAAAGTACAACCATTTCTAGACGGTTTTAAATGCCACAGAGTCCCCTGGTTAAAATGTAAAGCTGCACAGCTTGCCTATGTCATCTTTGTGATAAAGTTAAAACAGCAAGATGATTTAACTTTCACTCTACATTTTACTGCCAGGTTTTTATTTAGATCAAGTATCGCTGCAGCATTCTGACCAGCCCAGATTTAGCAGCAAATGGCAGGAATCATATAAAATGCATTTTTTAACAAAGTGCTTTTCTAAGATATACACACACACACACACACACACACACATATATATATATATATAAATAGGTACAAAATAAAGTGTCAACATTAAAAAGCTCAACTATTTAAAAGCTTTTAACTATTTAACTTAAGTAGTACATATAAAACACTGAAATGCAAGGATATGGAATCTACTAAACAGAGATTCAAAGTCTTTTTTTTTGAAATGCAAGACCAAAAAAATCAAATTCTGGTTTGCAGACAGGAAAAAAGTATCAAAAACCAGAATTCCTAACAGAGCAGCTAGAAAGGGGCAATTTTATAAACCTTATCAGCTGAATCTCTATCACAAAGCAATTTTCACCTAATTGCAAAACTGCCATTTTTCAGAAAACTTCAATTCACCATATAATGTGTCAAGACTTCATATACATCCAAGTTTCAAATCTGTGCTTTGCTTTCTCCCATCTAAAAAGGAAAAACTTGAAACGATGAACCTGCACTCTAATAACATTATATTTGAGCTTATCATCTGCTAGCATGAATGTACTAACCAGGTACATTTCCACCAAACACACAGGAAAATCTTGTGCGTCACAGGTCAGTGAAGGTGTTAAGACAAATAAGCCTTTTAAGTTTCTGATGTTTCATGATGTCAAAGAAGCAAATAAGCAACAATGCTGGGCTGTTTCTGTGAGTTCTGGAATCAAATCTTCAAGTGCTACAGCTTCATGGGCTATAGCTTAAGGGGAAGAGGAAGCAAGTAAACATACTATATAGACAGAGTACAATTAAAGAATAAATTTTACAGTGGGTAATGAGAAATAGATAATTTTCCTAGCAGCTATATCTGAAATTTTTGGTTTGTTTTTGGTTTTTGTTAGTTACATTTGCTTGTTTAAAAATTTTCTGAGAGTTTAAAATATGAGATTTGAGAATAAAACAGACTGGAAAGATCTGTGGGGAAGGTTTATAATGCTGCCTTGACATAAGAAATTTCTTATCAAGAGGTAAAGCTTGAACAGTTTAAACACGAATGAAGCTGTTTTTATGTAAGCAAAGAAGAGCACCTAAAAACTAAATGTGTTAATGTTTCTCAATTCTAGAAACTATAGAAGAATAAAGTCACATGTAACTTTGAAGAAGCTAGTTTGAAAATACCTGTACAAAAATATAAAAAATCTATAAATTTTTGTTTTCAGCTGTGATCTTCAAAAATATTACATGCACAATAATACATAAATTGGAAAAGTGGCAATTAAAGAATTAGATATTTTAGCTTTTTTCTTTCTTTACAATATATATATATATATATAATACAATAAAAATAATCTATTTTGGTTGTTTGGTGGAAGTATACTACAGTAAGCTAAATAAACTTTTAATTTTCAAAGTCAAAAATTATTTTATCAATAGCTTACTAAAATGAAATATATTAAAATTTCCTACAATAAGTGCAGAAATAAAAGACTTACAGACATCTAAATGGCCACTAGCTTATCTACTACAGAAGCGAACTAGAGGAACAGCAAAATAATATTTGTATGTATGGATGCTCCTTCTGTAGATAATTGGACCCAAACAGAAATAAAATTCACAGTTCAGTAAGATCCCTAACCCTGACCTTTTAATTTTTTCTTTTTTCATACATTCATACAGTATCATGTAAGCTGTGCAAAACTTTACTTAGACTGGCAGTTTGCCATATCAGTTGCATTTGTCTTTGGTACAAAAAATAAAACAATCACAATAATGTGCAAGTATTTGTCTTCTTCCGGTCAAGTACCGAAATATGAGTTCTCTAGAGCCATCTTTTTTTTGTTGTTTTTTGTTTTTTTTTATACAATACACAGACTCTGTGGCATATATCTACATTTCAACATAGTCCTATATACATTCAAAAATTTGAAAAAGAGTTGGAACAAAAAAAAATTTAAACCCCCATTAATTTTCCATCTATATATCTTGTTTTTCCTTATTAGGGTTTTCATCATACAAAATATTACCAGTTTTATAGATTCCCCAAAATACAAGGCACAAAGAATATGCTTTTTTTTTTCTTACTTGCACAGACATATATGTATATATATATATCTCTATAGATATATATATATATATTTATATATA